GGCCTTGGGCTCTGGGGCAACCTTTGCCTGGAAGCATCACCCAGGTTCAGCACATCCTGCTCAAGGTAAAGAAGTCAGCCTCCAAACTTGGGTAAGCACGCTCTTTTAAAGTTGTTGTTATAATGGTTAAATGATGAGATGTTGATTCTCTGTGCAAAGTAATTTGGAAATGCATTTATAAAACTAAAGTCACCTGATAGGTAATGTTTGTTTCAAGTTTCAAATTGTTAAACTTTTTGAATCAGTTATGTCAAGCAACTTTTCATAATGTGGCTATTGTTGGTTATTGTTTTAATGTGTAAACTTGCCAAAAAGCTTGTTTGGTTTTGTCTTGCTGAGAATTTGCAAGTATATAAAAATAATCTCTAATGATTGGTTTTTTACACCAGGACAAATTTAAATTTGAGATGTAAATCCTGGAAAAGTTCTTCCTAAGCTGTGATTAGTGAAACTTGCTGTTTGAGGTAAAAGCTCATAGGATTTTATTTTGAGTTATCTGATGGATCATAATAATCCATCCAATAATCAATAATCTGCCATCTGAGAGAAATGCCACAAGCTACTCTTGTGGGAAGTCAGCATCGGGAAAAGCTGAGAAGACAATTTTAGCCTCAGTCTAAGATGAGATCCTCCTGGCTCAGTTTCCCCATTATGTTCCTTTGAAAAGGAATGCTACCAGGGGGCAGCTAGGTGGCACAGTGAATAAAGCTCTGGCCTTGGAGTCAGAAGGACGTGAGCTCAAATCCAGCCTCAGACACTTAACACTTACTAGCTGTGTGACCTTGGGCAAGTCACTTAACCTCGATCACCTCAACAAAAAGCAAAAAAAAAAAAAAAAAGGAATGCTACCCACCTGGCTATTCCTAGGTCTGGCTATGAGGTGGATTTGATACTGCATGGTTGGGAAACTGAGTTATCTGAATCTAAACAGAGCTAAGGATGTTTTATCCTGTCATTTGGGCCCTGCAATCTTTTCTGTCAGATTTGTGTCTTCCACACTATGGGGCATTCACCTACAGTTGGTAGCAAACAGCGAGTACCAACCAATGTCCCCCCATTCTTCCCTGCATGTAGTCTGTGCTCGATTCCAGTCAAGCTCCTCTTTGGGACCCCCTCGAGGCAGGGCCAGCTCTACACCCCTTGCCAGCAGGAAGCAGTTTCAGAAGCTGAGAACTTCACCCCTTACACCAAAAGAATTTGGGTCCCATTTGTGGGAGGAATGATGGGGTTGGGATCTGGACCCCAGAAAGGAAAAACCCTGGACTTTCCCACATTGTGAAATCTCTAGCGCTGGCCTGAGGCTATAATCCCATCAACTGGCCTTTCATTGTGGCTACATCTAGTCTCCCAATTCTGTAACTTAACCTAGCCTAGCCCTCCATTGTCTTACTTCCCTGTGGCCCCCCAGCTACTTCCCACTCTTAATCCTGGCTAGGCTCCATTCTCCCTTGGCCATGTGGTCCAGGTCCCAGGCGTTCTATTACCTCACAGTACCCACAGACTATTTAGCCACTCCTAGATCCCTCCCACAGTCAGTCTGTATATAAGGTCCATCTTGTCTCCATTAAGATGCTCAGATTCTTAAAATCTAGCCAATAGCTCAGTAATGTTCAGATTCCTTAAGAGTTTGGCCAATATGGCAGATGTTCTAATAAACCTTGTCTCTGGCTGGAAAAAAAAAACAGACCAAAAAAAGAAAAAAAGGCAAATATGTGATACAAAATAATTAAAACAAGAAATTTCACAAGTGGGGGTGAGATAATTGGACAAGGGACTTAAGAAGGAGATAGTATAGAACTGATCTAGTTCACTTAGAGGTCAAGAGGAGGGGAAGAGAGGCAAAATAGCTAGGCACAAATGACTGGGCACTGTACCTGGAGTCAGGAAGACCTGTGAGTTCAAATCTTGCATCAGATACTCACTAGCTGTGTGATTCTGAGTAAGTCACTAAACCTGTCTGCTTCAGTTTCTTCAAGTGTAAAATGGGGATAATAGTACCTGCTTAATAAATGCCTATTTCCTCTTCTCTGTCCAGGGATGATCACCTGTCAGAGAACTGAGGGTTTGAGGGATTAAAGGAAGAGGTAGAGGCAAAGAACAGGGTTAGTGGTTTTTACGGCAGAGGGAAAAATTATGATCACATAAAGGAATTTCAGAGTCCATGAACACAGAAGTGGAACACTTGTGGATGATTGCAAGGTCAAAGATATGACCACCTGTATAGCTGACGTGCTGGCACTAGGATCCTAGTTGCTCCCCATTGCCACTTCCAGGTTCTCTCCCTCTACTGCCATGAGAAGCAAGCAACATTCCAACTCCCCTACCCTGACCAGTGAATCAGGAGTTATGAGTGAAAAGCACAACCAGTGTTGGGAAGCATGGCCAGGGGGCTGGAAGAGATGGAAAAAGGAAAAGGTTTAAGATGACAGCTCAATTGTTACCCATGAAGCAGGCATTCCAGAGCACACAGTGGAAGGAGGGTAGATCTGGAATGGGATTTGGTGAGAGGTGGGGGTATCAGGATGAGGGGGATAGGGGAAATTTGTACAAGGACAGCCAGGAGATGCAGAATCACCGGGATAAGTAGGGTATGATGACATGAGGCATAACCCGTTTTAATTTGCATTTCTCTAATTAGTCATTTTGAGTCTCTTCCCACATTTCTTGTTTTGAAACCTTTTCATATCTTTTATTCACTCATTAAGGAACAGCCTTGCGATTCAATATTAATGTGCTATTTGTCATTTTGGAAGAACCTCCCTCCCATTTCCCCCACTCCCCCACCCTCCTACCCTATGAGTTATCTCCAGCAATGGAGATGATCTCATCAAAGTCCTAGAAATATCTTATGCCTGTTGCTCAAATGCCTGAGAGGCAGCTAGGTGGCACAATAGAGAATACTGGACTTGGAGTCAGGAGGTCCCGAGTTCAAATCCCACTGTGTGACCCTAGGCAAATCACTTCACCTCTCAATCTGCCTCAGTTTCCCCACTTATAAAATGGGGATTATAAGAGCACCTACCTCCCAGAATTGTGAAGATTAAATAAGACAACACTCTAAAGGACTCTGCAAACCATAAAGTTCTATATAAGTGCTAGCTAGTAGCTAGTAATAACAAAATCCTAGGAAAATGAACACTTTCCTTGGTTATAATGTATGTAAAGGCCTAGGTAAGTGTGAGTTATCATTATCACCCAAAAACCAGGCCTTCAATTTATAGTACAAGGTCAACAATGGACAAAGAACTGAAATGCTTTACTGGGAGTGAAACATTTAAGAGTAATGACTGCTTCCCAGCTTAAAAAAATCTGCAGCAAATATCACTGATTATTCTAATATCCAAAATATATGGGAAACTGACATAAATACAGAATACTGACAGCCATTCCCTAATAGACAAATGTTCAAGAGATACTGTTTCCCCCCAAAAAGAATTACAAAGTCTAAGTAACCATAAGAAAACACACTCCAAAATCCCTAAGCTGTGAAATGGGTAAAGATACCAAAAGATGGGAAGTTAATGTTGGAAGGGCTGTGGGAGGAATAAGCACTCTGATGCATCGCTGGGGGAACTGTGATGTGGTCCAGCTGTTTTGGATGTCAATTTGGAATTAAGCAAGACAGTGACAACTATCCGTACCCTCAGATCCAGCAATCCCACCATTATGCATATATTCCAAGAAGTCAAAGACAGAAATTCATGTCTAATATATACCAAAATATTCATACCAACACTTTTTGTGGTAGAAAAAAACTGAAAAACTTATGGTTTACGAATGTAGTAAGAAACAACGAATATGAATGATTTGGAGAAACATGGAAAGATCTGAGGTGTTGCACAGTAGAATAAACAGAACCAAGAAAATATAAACAATGACAATAATGTAAATGGAAAAAAAATCACTAAAATGAAACTCAAGTAATGACAAAACCATGTATATTTTGGAGAAGATAGTGAAATAAACATTCCCTTTTCCTCCATAACAGAAGCAGGGGACTGCTAGGACAGAATGGTGGATACTTAAATCATATGTGATCACTACTGAAAGTGTTTGCTTAACTGTTTTTCTCCCTCACAAGGGAAGTAAATCTGGTGCTATTGGTGGGGTGGAGAATGGGTTTGAAATTACTTATATAAACAAAAGGAATCAGTAAAATGGCTAACAAGACTTAGCATCTCTAATCAATACAATAACCACCACAATTCCAAAGGACTTATGATGAAACATGCTGCCCATCTCCAGAGAGAGCTGATGGACTTGGAGGGCAGACTGAAGCAGATTTTTCTTCCTTTCTCTTGTTCTACCATGCCCTGCCTGCCTCCACCCCACCCCAGTCCCCTCCCCTCCCCCCATGTGGACACCTGTTTTGAGTGACTATACATATCTGCAACAGGTTTTGTTTTTTTGCCTTTTCACTGAGTGGGGGATTGGGTAGGGGGAGGAAGGGAATTTGGAACTGGAAAAAAAATCAGCTAAAAAAAAAAAGAAAAAGCCAATATTACCTCAAATATAAGTCCTACAGGTACATGGCTATTAATAGTGTGAGGTAGCTTCTTCTTGGAAGAAACTATTCACTAGGCCTTGGAGAAGGAAAGAAGACAGGACTTAGTGAGTCAGAGCTTCTAGTCCAAGCTGTATCACTGATCTCAGACAAGTCACTTCCCTTCCCCAGGCCTTAGTTTCCCCAAATGGGATCTCTGTGGGTCTCATCTGTTTTCCTAGCTCTAAAAAGGTGAGTGAACTACATTTCGGAAGTGCTTTCCAGCTCTGAATTAGGATTCTGATGTGGAACAGCAGAAAAAGCATTAGAAGACCTGGATGAGTTCCAGTTCTAACACTCCTTAGCTGTGTGTGTGCTGGCCAATTTCATAGATGTTTCTAAGCCTGTTGCCTCATCTCTAAAACGGGGATGGTACTACTGAACAGTACCTTACAGGGCTCGAAGGAAAGTACTCCTTTGGAGATGTGAGATGTTACAGAATTCTAAGGACTCTTACCAGTTCTGTTCAGCATAGCCATGTTAAACATTGCTTCCTGATAGGCTAATTCGACGTCTTCTTTGGACACCACTAGCTTTATTTTATTCCATCTTTCTGGCTAGAAAAGAAAGATAATATCATCTCCAGACTGAAAGCATTTGATTTCCCCAATGCCATGAGCCACAATGGCTTTCTCTGCTTCCAATAATGAGGTCATTATTCTTAATGAGATCAATGTTCTTAATCATATAAGGCATATAGATGAGGCTAGGATCCAAGGAGCTGTTAGCTATCCAGACAGCAAGGCCTGAGGACCAAGAAGGCCTAAGCATATTACACAGGAAGCTTCTCAGATGCCAACTCCAATTCCACGAGTAGTTTCAGTGTGTTGGTCCAAAGGTCCAAAATCATAAGTTTTCTATTATGCCTGTTTTCTCTCCATTTGTGCCAATGATTAAGAACTAACGATAGTTTGTCCTCATTTTAAGTGAGGGTAGGAGCAGAGCAAGATGTTAACTGCCTGTGCCAACTGCTACAGTGGCAATGGTTCTGGCTCATCACTTACATGAGTATACCTTGCTTCTGTTCTTCTCAGGATGAACAGATCAAATTCATTGGTAGGAAGGCTGGGGTCCCAGAGGCACTATCTTTTTTTAGGGGTAGGGATACTAGAACAGTCCAATGACAAAGCCAGAAATCTTGGGCCAAAGTCCGAGTGGAGTTTTTTCACCTGTCCTTTTGTTTACCGTCAAGTTAGCAGGCCTCTTCCAACGTGGGGGTTTCTTAGTGGCATTGCCATAAATTGAGAAAAGCCAATAAGCTAGAAGATGCTGAATCCCTGGCTCTGGTTTCATCTCCATTGCCTTTGATTCTTTCTCTGTGAAGTTGTGGGCCATAAGCCTTTAGTAAATGACATGGCCATGGGAACAAAGCCAGTCACAGCACACTTCCTAGAAGTTTAGAGACCGTTTAGTGGGAGTAACAAGAAGCTTCACAAAGTCTGATCACAAGCATCTGCTGAGTTAGCAGTTCCAAGGCTGGTGAATCCTTAGCAGGCCTGACTCTCTGACCGTAAGGGCAAAGGTGAGAATGGTTATGTTACATTAAAACATGGTGTGCTCCTTGAGGACAGGTCTGTTTTTGCCTTTTCTCTGTATTCCCCAGTCCTTAGCCCAGTGCCTGGCCCCATAGCAAATGTTTCCTAAAAGAAATCATGAAGTTTCTTGTTACTCCCACTAAAGTCTCTGAATTTCTAGGAAGAGTTCTGTGTCTGGCTTTGTTCCCATGGTTATGTCATTACTAAAGACTTATGGCTCACGACTCTACAGATGCCTTGCTTGATTTTGTACTTTTGTTCTCCTGGATGTTAATACAATAGCTCATTGTCAATGAGGCCAGCTTGGGTTCCCCATACTTACATTATCTAGCCACTGGTGGGCATTGACAGCGACCTGGGTTCCTAATGGTTTGGTCAAAACAAGCACATCCCCAGGAACTGCATTGTCTGGCCTGAAAAAGAAAGCATTTTTGTTTGCTTACAGAATACATCTTTGTTCCAGGGATACTTGCAGTGGGTAGGCTAATGCAGTGCTTTGTATTGACATATCTAAGTGAACAAATGAATGGATTTTCAGGAATCTACAGAGTCCCTAGGTTAATTTCGTGGTCAAACTCTGCATACAAGTGCTGACACCTGGGCAGTGAGTGCCTGTGACTCCCCTTCCATCAGCAAAAAATGTACTAGGTGAGTTCCTTAGGGAGCAGAGGGGATACAACATGGGCCATGAGTCCCTGACTATGCCTTGATAACTCAGAGCTTACTGCAATCTCTAGAGAAAGAAGAAAGCAGCTAAGCACCAAAAGGAAAAGGAGACAAGGGACCTGGAACCCCAGAAGGCTTAGATTCTTCATGCAAGGCTACTAAATACTGCCTGCTTGCCTTCTGCCTCTGGCAACAAAGTAGCCCAAAAGGCTCTAGCTTGCTCTTGTCAGTTCAATTCCAGTAATGATGAAAAAGTCCAAGGAGGATCCATGAGCGTGACTCTGGAAAAGTAGCCCTTATGCCAAAGTCTGCAGCTTATCCTGCCCCAGCCAGTGGTGCACAGGCTAGAAATGGCAAAATAATAGCTAACATTTATATAGTGCCTACTATGTGTCAGGCACCATGCTAAGTAATTTCTATCTCATTTGATCTTCACAATAAACCTGAGAGGTAGGTGCTGTTATTATCTCCATTTTACAAATGAAGAAACAGAGGTGAGTCACACAGTTAGTAAGTATCTTAGGCCAGATTTGAACTCATATCTTCTTGACTCTAGGCCTGAGCTCTGCAGCTCTGCGTACAATGGTGCCTGTTAGCTGCTCCCCAGAAGATTGAAAGCAATAATGTCTACAGAGGCAAAAGGGGCTTTGTCTATAAAGGGGTTTCCTGGTAACAACCCTGTGAGGTCAACATCTCTCAAGAACCTGAAGGTTTGTGAAGCTCTTTAAGGATAGGGTCGCACTGGATGCTCGCATTACCCCTGTGACACAGTTGCTACCATAATAATCTCCATTTTACAGATGAGGAAACTGAACCTGACAGAAGCTAAACAACTTGCTGAGGTAGAATCTGAATCCAGGCGTTCTTGATGCCAAGTCTAGCACTCTCCATGCTATCTTCTCACTGAAATAAAGCAAAAAAATAAGAGGAAGGCTCCATAGGCCTCAGAGGTCTTGGAGGTACTGTGAGAAAGCTAGGAAGATCAATTTCTGTTAAGAATTCATTTTCTTCTTTCTATTTAGGTGATTATCAATCTAGAAAGAAAATTAACACAAAATAGAACCTAAAAAATGAAGAGAGAGGGGTCCCGCTGAGCCTTCATCTCTAACTAAAACAAAGGAGTTGGGCTACAAAGTCCCTTTCAGCTTTCAATTCTATAATAAACAAACATTTCTGGTTTGGTAGCTCTCTGTACATCTACTCACATGATGAACTCATTAGGCTGACAGACCACAGTAGCAACACCTCCAATAATAATCCAAGGGTTTATCACAGTATGTCCCCCCGTCACTGAGGTTCCTCCTTCCTCAGCAGCATCCCGAAAACCTTTGACCATCAGGGGCATGATCTTTTCTCGTTCCTGGAAGAGAAGTCCATCAGGTTGACCCTCCCATATAGAATATCTTCTCCCTTTCCTCTTCCTAGCCAAAGCTGGTTCCACCTCAATGCCTCTTTTACAAAGCCTCAGGGATATTTCCCTCTGGTACATCCTAGGACTCATTAGACACTACTGCTGACAGCCTGGTGATAGCTGTCCTGGTATAATGAACTGTATTCTGTCTGTCTAACAGAGACAGAATCCATCTCATCTCCCCTTGTAGCACCAAGAGGTGCTGCAAGTAAGTAACCTTTCTCTCTTCTGTATGATTGTGTCTCTCCCCAGTTATAGCCTGGCACCTCCCACAAAGAAGGCATTTACCAAACAGCTGATGGCAGACTCTGCCATGGCCTTCCACAGACAGTGAACAATGGTAAAGCCCTAAGTTGATGGGCTGTAACAGGTAGTGGGGATAAAGGAAAAAGGGAAAAGCAAAGCCCTCAAGAAGCTTCCTTTCCATTGGCACCTCAGCGAATGTATAAAGTGTCACATTTAAAACAAAATAAAGGAATGGGGAGAGTTCTCAGGCACCTTCCTTGAGATTTTTGGCATGAGTACTTGGGTGGAACAGATCAACTGGGGGAGAGGGGTGGGGAAACCCAATTCAAGTTTACATTGTAGGAAAAAAAAATGTCTTTCACATTGAAAAATCATAGGAGTACAAACAGAGCTGGAAGAGACCTTGGAAATCAGAGGGTCCAACTCCCTCATTTTACATATAAAGAAACCGAGACCCAGCCATGTCAAGTGATTTATCCAGGGTCACCCAGCTAGTAAATTTCTCAGGTGAGATTCAAAGCCAAGTCTTTGCTATGAGGAGATAGCAAATTCAGAGCTCTGGTCACTGTATCACACAGCCTCCCCTGAATCATTACTATCCCTTGGCCAGTAGTAAAGTTTTAAAAAACGTGAACCTTATAAAACCAGTTTTACTTAAAGGGCTTCACTCTCCATTCAAAAAGCATTTGAGTCTTTTCTTAAAAGCAGTATGATCCTAACAGTTATAAAGGAAAATCAATTACTCAGTGAGTATATGAGCCCAAACTAGCGTATCCTTGTGGGTCTTAAAACAGCCAAGAACTGCTTGTTACTGACCCACGACCTTGGCCTCGCCCACTTCTTCAAAGTCTCCCTCTCCTCCCCCCCTTACCTCCTCGTTCATCTTTTGGCTGATGCTAAGGAGCATCAGCATGTTATCACAGTCAGTAATGCCCATGGCATAGAGGTCACTGAGCACGTTGGCACAGGCAATTCGTCCCTAGAAAAGGAAGCATACAACTAGTCAGCCAGGAGCCATGGCACATGACCTGTAGCTGATGAGCCCCATTACATAAGGTGACCTGTTAACAAAAAAAGTTCTCAATCCCAGGGCTAGACCTGTAAACGCCTGGCCCTTTATGGGGCAGTAATGGGCACAAAGAGCTAGAACAAACCTTAGGATATTGAGGCTGACCCCCTTGTTTTAAGAAAAAAAAGCCTAGGTCAGACAGTGGGCTGTTTACTCAAGTCTAGGCCCCAGGTCTCCCAATTACCAGGCTTGCATTGGTTTGTTTTGGTTTTTTTTCCCCCTCTCTACCACTCAGCTTGTGGGCCCAGAGTTGCAGGCAGGCAAGGGCTTGAAAAACAATTGTGCTGTACTGGTGGAGTTGTGACCTGGTCCAACCATTCTGGAGAACAACTTGGAACTAGGCCCAAAGGGCTACAAAACTGCATACCCTTTGGCTCAGCAATGCCACTGCTAGGTCTATATCCCAAAGAGATCAATGAAAAGGGAAAAGGACCTATATGTAAAAAAATACTTACAGCAGCTCTTTTTGTGAAGCTAAGAATTGGAAACTGAGAGGATGCCATCAATTGGGGAATGGCTAAACAAGCTGTTATTATGAATGTAATGGAATTCTATTATACTATAAAAAATGATGAAGAGGATGATTTCAGAAAAACCTGGGAAGACTTATATAAGCTGATGCAAAGTGAAGAGAGCAAAACAAGCAAAACTGTACACAGTAACAGTAGTATTGTAACAATGATCAACTGTCAAAGAATTAACCATTCTGATCAACACAATGATCCACAATGATTTCCCAAGGACTCATGATGAAAAAAAAAAAAGTAATCCACCTCAAGAGACAGTTGATGGACTCTGGGTGTAGACTGAAGCACTTTTTTTTCCTTTTATTTTTCTTGCTTTTCCTGCTGCCCCTTTCCCCTCTACACCCCACCCCCCACCCCCCATGGCTAATGTGGAAATGTTTTATATGACTTCACATGTATAATGAATGGGTATTGTACTACTTGCCTCCTCAATGGATAGAAGGGGGAAGGAGAGAATTTGGAACTCCATGCTACACTGAGGGCAACAGACTAATTGAACAGTACACAGGTAGGGGGCTTTGAGTTTCTGGCCTAAGACCATTTGTGGCCTAGCCAGTGTGGCTGCTAGAGACACTCCCCTTCAGGCTACCTGGTAGAAGTTTGTTTTCCCCTTCACACTTACCATCATATAAGGGTCTTCAACCAAAGGGTAAAAGAAGTCTGTGGTTTGCACAAGTGAGAGACCTCCTCTCAAGGGAATCACACAAGAATCCATTCCTATCCCTACATGAGGAAGAAGCAATTTCAATGCCAAGAGTTAAACCTTTCCCACTGGCTGCTGGCTATCCCAGGTCTAATCCAAATTTTCTGCATTCCCTTCTCAACTACATCCTGCTTGCTTCCAAGACTAAGATATTAGATCCTTCCCAGGCTCTTGCCCATTTTCCCTACTCCATAAACAGTTTTCAGAAATAAGTCCTTCCCAATGCCAAAGAAGCCTCTAGTATTGTGACAGTTGTTATGAATTCAGGGCAAAAGATCAATCTCTAGGATGAAGTTGGCCTCCCTCTTCCTGCCCCTCCCTCTCCATTTCCAGGCTGGATAAAGAAGGGCTGTGTGGCTAAGAGACATTTACTTTCTCTGTGCCAGAATGGGGGAGTGTAGCATAGCTGATAGCCTGAGGAGTCCAATGCCCCTTGCAGAGCTTAGGAAACAGAAGTTCCTTTAAACACAATGGGTGCTCCTTAAAGGTTTAGGTGGCAAAATTGGCTGTTCTAGGGATAGCTAGGTGGCGCAGTGGATAGAACACCGGCCCCAGAGTTGGGAAGACCTGAGTTCAAATCAAGTAACACTACCTGTGTGACTGTGGGCAAGTCACTTAACCCCAATTATCAAAACAAAAACAAACAAAAAGTTGGCTGTTCTGATTGGGTCATTTGCTTTCATAAGGGCCCTACCATATCTATAACTCAGGCAAATCAACTTAGAGGAAGATGTAGGAGGGCTTGATTTTTACAGATAGCTTGGGCAGTCTTGTTAACTACTTTCCCCATTAAAACAACCAAGTAAAATGTTAGGTTCCATCAGATTTCAAGTCTAGCCTAAGTGCAAGGACAAAAGGTAGAACTAAAGATTAGTTGTTGTCTCTTCCTCAGGGCCTAAATTTTCTGTATATAAAAGGCACTGAAATACTGAAATGAGAAATCTTGATTTTGCCTTTAAACAAGATGTACAAATTAAGACACAATTTAAAGAAACTGAAAAATGATGGGTACAGTGAGGTATCTCACTCCCTAAATTTGAATTGTTCTTAATTAATTCCTCTTAATTCCAGTGCCTTCCCTCTGTTAATTATTTCCTATTTATCCTGTATATAGTTTGCTTGTTATTCCTCCCATTAGATTGTGAGCTGGAGGGCATGGATATCTCCAGTGCTTAGCACAGTGCCTGGCACACAGTAGGTGCTTTGATATTGATAGATAACAAAAACTATTTTATTAGGATCACAGATTTTAGAGCTGGAAGGGAGCTTACAGATCATGTAGTCCATGTTATTTTAGAGAGGAGGAAACTGAGGCCCAGGGCTTATCAAAAACCATACAAGTAAGAAGTCTCCGAGGTAAGCTTTGAACCCTAATCCAGCATTCTCTGCACTGCACTGTACAGCACCTCTCCTGCTTTGTCTCTGGTTCTTGGACTAGAGTTAGCTTTACCAGGTAACAGTCCTTCCCACACCTCTTCAAAATGGGAGGAGGAGGGAAAAAAACCACTGGTTTCCTTTTCTACCTACCAGAGCTATTATTTCTTTTTTTTTTTAATGAGGCAATTGGGATTAAGTGACTTGCCCAGGGTCACACAGCTAGTAAGTATCAAGTGTCTAAGGCCAAATTTGAACTCAAGTCCTCCTGATGCCAACGCTGGTACTCTACCCACTGTGCCACCCAGCTGCCCCTATTACTGACATGAAGACTTAGGTTTACTCATTAACTTGACCTTTGTAGCATACCCCTGCCCCTTTCAATTTTCTGCAGTCTCGATTTTAAAGGGCTCCGAAAGGGCACTGGGCTCAGATTATGGGATTTATAGAAGGGTGGTATTTCAGAAATCATCTTGTTACCAGCCCTCTCATCTTTCAGTTGACGTGACTGGACCCTCTCGGTTAAGAGACTGGCCCAAGGTCATACAGAGTTAGAGGCAACACGCTTGACTGGTGTGTAACAGATGTAAGAGAAAAAGAGCCTCATTTACCTCTGGTGTTATTGCTGTTCAGTCAGGTCCAACTCTTTGTCACCCCATTTGAGGTTTTCCCTGCAAAGATACTGGAGTAATTTGCCATTTCCTTCTCTAGTTCATTTTACAGATGAGGAAATGGAGGCAAATTGGGTTAAGTGACTTGCCTAGAGTCACACAGCTACTAAGTGTCTGAGGCCAGTTTTGAATTCAGGTCCTCCTGACTCCAGGCCTGGTCTGGTCCACTGCACTCCTAGGCAGTACAGCTTGAACCTGACTTCAAATCCAGTGCTCTTTCTACTATACACCAGAAAGCTGAACTGAATAAGAATTCTAGCTTTGCTGCTTACTAGATATGGAGGCAAGTCACTTCCCCTCTCTGGGACTCAGTTTCCTGTAACTGTTTACTCAGTCAAATGATGGCTTAACCAATATGGTGTCTGAGCTGACATTCCACATACATCTGTACATCTAAAGGCCTTCCCAGCTAAAGGGCCAATTCCTTTCCCCAAAATGGAAGTGCTGGGGGGCAGCTAGGTGGTACAGTGGATAGAGTACTGGCCCAGGAGTCAGGAGGACCTGAGTTCTAATAACTGTCTGACCTTGGGCAAGTCACTTAACCCCAACTGCCCTCACCAAAAAAAAAAAAAAACCCCAAACAAAAACGGAAGTCCTGGGGGCAGCAGACTAGAATCCAGAGCTCAATCATCGCAAACATTCTCTTTTAAGAATTTAAGTCAGTAATGTGAAAATGTTTGATAGGAATGTATATGTAGAGCCTATATCAGATTGCATGCAGGGGGAGAAAATTTAAAACTCAAAAGCTTATGAAAGTGAATGTTGAAAACTAAAAATTAATTAACTCAAAAATAAATAAATAGGAATTTAAGTCAGTAAGGTACAGGGAAGAGAGTGCAGGAAGACCTGGGTTCAAATCCCAGGCTCTGCCACCTAGTCCCTGGGTAACTGTAGGTAACTTTTTTCTCCTCCCAGAGCCTCAGTTTCCCTCTGTCAAATGAGGGGGACTGGTCTCTATGACCTCAGAGCTGTAAATCTATTGAGCTCCAGAGCTTTGAACTAAACCAAGGATACCTTTTCTGAGTGCTCTGCCTCAAGCCCTCAGTACGACCCTGAACACTTCCAAGCCAGGCCTGGGAGGGGAGGCTTGCGGGAGTGCCAGAGGGCTCTCTTTATTTCCGGCTCCCCAACCTCTGGGTCCTGGCCCACCTCTTCTGGAGATGAAGCCTCCCCTCCCCTCCTCTCTCCCTCGCCCCCTCCTCCCACCTCTTTCCTCTCCTCTCTCCTGCCCCCCCCCATCTCTTCCAGCCTCTTCCTCCCGCCTCCCACCTCCTTCCTCTCCCCCTCCGCTCCCCGCCATGGTCCTCCTTACCCCCTTCCCCGTCCTCTCACACTGCCTGCACTCACACTCACCAAGGGCCCGGGGAGCCGGGCCGGAGCCGTCCGGCGCGGCCCCGTCCCCGCCATCACTACAGTCGGGCGCCGGAGCCACAAGGGGCCGCGCCAGTCCCGCCAGGAGCGTGAGCAGCGCCTCCTGCGGGACCTTGCAGCCTCAGCCCTTGAGCTCCGAAAAGCCCGTCAGGCGCCAGCTCGGGCTCAGCCCCAGCGCCTGAGGCTCAAAGGGCCGATAGGCGCCCGGGGAGCGCGCGCCCGCACCCTCGGCCGCCGGCAGTGACGGCAGCTGCGGCTGCACAGGCTCCGGCGGCGCGGGGGGAGGCACAGCCGCCATGGCGCCTGCTCAGTCCGGGGACCGTGGGTCTAGCCTCACGCCTCTCGCGAGGATACCGGGTCACCGGTGTCTGAAGAGAACCCCGAGGAGACCCAGGGCCCTGGCCGCATCCCGCCCCCTGACATCACAGCCCCACCCTACGTCATCCCGCCACCCCGGCGGAAACAGCTCATCCGGGACGGGATGTTGAAGGTGGCTCCCATGGAGCCTTGCCAGTTCGAGGTCAGTGAAGTTGGGACTCTCGGCCTCCAAGCATTTCAGTTTCCTCCGGGAGCAAATGAAGGGGTTGGGATGCTCAAGCTCCCCGAGGGCCCCTCCGGCTCCGGGACGAGTCGCGCTTCTACTCTCGCCTTCAATTACGTGTCCTCACAGTTCTCCCAGAAGCAGGCTCCTCCAGTCCCTAATTCTCCAGGAGCTCACAATGTAATGGGGCAGACAACACATAGGAAGGTTTCAGTTGTAAGTCAGTCCCATGGGCCCTAGGGTGCAATGGCCAAACAAATGGTAATACCTCTTCTTTAATGTTATTTCCACTGATAACATGCTGTCAGTTTTTGCGTGGAACCATTGGCCAGGACCAAGGACTTTGGTGACAAGTACTTTCCTTTTTGAGGCTTAAGTAGCTGTGGCTGCAGCTCCTTCAGGAGCAGTGACCAGGCTGCATCTCCACGGGGGCTGCTTCTCAGGATGATGGTTGAGGACACTGGGCTGGAAGCATGGCTATTCCCAAGGCTCTTCGGTTCAAGGTCTGGGTCTTGGACTGTGACATAAAAATATTCAGGGATTCATTGATAAATAACTTCTGCTGATCATACTTATCAACATGCAAAGCCATTTTAGTAACCAGTTTATTACATGCTCATAGCATGGTCCCATGGTACCCAAAAACCAGTGGATCCTGAATAGCATTTTCAGAAACCTTAGATAGTCTTTAATTACATTAGCAAGTTGAGTATAGTTGGAATTTTACAGGGGGCAAAGGAGAAGGTAAAGATTTGCACATCAAAGAAATAATAAAAGGGGAAGTTCTACATCAGATAAAATAATAAAAGGATCTGCAAATACTAGGGGATTTAACTGGAATTTGCAGACAGTAGGAACTAATTAGATAGCAACAAGGCTGTAATTGATGTCTCAGCTTCATTTTGGTGACTCTAGCTAGTTGATGTCTAAGCTAGCTGTCCTAATGAAATGATGGTCATAAAGCCAATACAGAAATATTCTCTTACCACAGTCTTGCTTTTGGTTATTGATTACATGACATGTGTATCTCAGCCGTATTCATGTACATCCTATCAAACTTCTCTCTGGATAAATTAAGTTTTTTGACAGATATAAGCATTGGGAAGCATTCAATATAACAGTAAAGCAAAAATAATACAATAGCAATCATTAGCATTTCCTTGATCCAGCCCATTATTGGGAACCAACCTTAAATGTTCCAGTCAGATATCCCTACATGTTTAAGCTTCTCCAGATTCTTCCCTAGCTCCCCAAAGCAATTCAAGTCCTGGGGAAATATTAAAGGTTTGATCAGACACATAGGGGCAACTTTTAATTCATGTTCATTTAAACAGTAGATTTCTTCTCCTGTTGTCTTGGGTTTAGCTGTTTACCTCATTAAGTCATCTACTTCTGGGAAATATTTTCCTTTGGAAATTCTGTGTCATTCAGACACATTCAGAGACATGCATCCCTGAATCAACATCCTGGAGTCCTTAATTGGAGTGTCAGTTGTTAACAACATCTGAAATGTGTTGGGGTGCTTGGGTGCTTACGTTTGGGTGCTTGTACTTGGGCCCCAATTTCTCCCTAGCCTCAGAAACACTGTCCCTTGATAATCATTTAAGATCAATTGAGCCCCAATAAGGGCCAAAAACCTAAATTAATCTTTTTCTCTCTGAGTGAACTAAAGACACCCCTTCCTGTGTCAGCAAATTCCAGGACCAGATAGAGCTGATCAGTATTCTTCCTGTTTGTTATCAGTGGGCCCAGGATGTCTGGGACCAGATACTCTCTTGAATAATGGAACTTTTCTTATCTTGAGTTTCAATTGAGAACTGACCACTCCTTAACCACTCCCTAATCCCGCTCTGAATCCCTTAGTTAGCATATTTGACATATGTTTTATTGCATTTTATCCTATACAAACTTTACCTGTACCTCTCTAAGGTGGCAGGATCCTTTAAGAATCCTTGCCCACTGAAAAGCGTAACAATAAATCTTTGCCACCTTGAATTAAAGAATGCTTGAGTCTGTGAATTCCTTCCAGACAGCCCATCCTGTACTCCGGTCTTTGAGGGGTCACAACCTCTCAACCTCTCAGCCTGCAACAAAATGGACCTTGCTCCTAGGGCAGTTTTGAAGGGGTATTCCTCTCAGTAGATTCACTTCCCAGGTCCCAGTCCCTTGTAGAAGTTCCCTAATAATGCCAGTTAAACTGGCTAGTGATAAAACAGTATAATTCAATAGATATTGTCAAAATCTAATTACATTCCAGTAATTAGTTCATGTGAGGGAAGTCAGTTCAAACCTTATAGAATTAACCTTATGAGCACCAGAGCTATAATGGATAATGCCATCCATAGGCTAGAGGAAGAATCAGACTTTATAAAGTGATTTGATCAGGGATACTATATCTGGTTATCCTGAGGATCACAAGTATTTTCCTTCTCTTTTCTAAATGTATATATATGTACTTCCAGGTGTAATGGTAAAAAGTTTCTTTCTTTTTTTTTTTTTTGGTGAGGCAATTGGGGTTAAGTGACTTGCCCAGAGTCACATAGCTAGAGTGTTATGTGTCTGAGATCACATTTGAACTCAGGTCCTCTTGATTCCAAGGCCAGTGTTCTATCCACTGCACCACCTAGCTTCTCCCATAAAAAGTTTCTTGACAATGAAAAACAATTCTATATGTGAGAGCCTCAGACTTTATCAATGATACTTTATCAAACTGAGACTTTATCAATGATCACTAAAACAAATCCAAAGATAGTTACTAAAACATATCCAAAGCTTTTGTATTTAGGCATCTGTATGGATAAACATCTGCGAATGTTCAGATGGATCTGAAAGAATTTCTGTAATTCCCTATTACTGTTATTTGTTGTTGTTGTTCAGTCGTGTCCAACTCTTTGTGAACCTCACTTGGGGTTTTCTTGGCAAAGATACTGGAGCGGTTTGCCATTTCCTTCTCCAGCTCATTTTACAGATGAGGAAACTGAGGCAAACAGGGTTTAAGTGACTTGCCCAGGGTTACACAGCTAGTAAGTGTCTGAGGCCAGATTTGAACTCAGGAAGATGAGTTCATAGAAGACTATGGTACCACCTAGCAGTCTTCTCTAGGTATTAGATTTGTCCATTTTTTTAAAGGTAGGGGGACTTGGGGCAGCTAGGTGGCACAGTGGATAGAGCCCCAGCCTTGGAGTCAGGAGGACCTGAGTTTAAATCCTGCCTCTTGACACTAGCTGTGTGACCTTAGGCAAATCACTTAACCCCGATTGCCTCATCAGAAAGCAAAAACAAAACAAAAAACCAAACCAAAACAAAAAACCCGAACAGTTCTTAAAAAGTAGGGGGACTTGAATTAGATGACCTCTAAGGTCCATTCTAGTTAGTGGAAGGAAAACTGAATCAAGGGGCAGCTAGGTGGCACAGTGGATAAGAGCACTGGCCCTGGAGTCAGGAGGACCTGAGTTCAAATCCGGCCTCAGGCATTTAACACTTACTAGCTATGTGATTCTGGGCAAGTCACTTAACCCCACTGCCTAGCCAAAAAAAAAAAACAAACCTGAATCAGGAAGAAAATAGGGTTCATATTCTAGCTCTGCTATATACTATATGTCTCTGGAGAAATCATCTCATCCTTGAGTCTCAGTTTCTTCCCTTGTAAAATGAGGACAATGTACCTCACATTATTATATTATATACCTCACAGGGTTTAAGAAAACTGTATTATTAACATTTAGAAATATGATCTATTATAGATTAAAAAAACCCTAATAATGAGACTCATAAAAAAGGTATACAATAACTGCCCCCCCATTCATTTGTCTCTGCAGTCATGCCTTCTTAGTGAGGTGGCTAAAGGAGAAATAAGTGATTCTTTTCTCTTGTGCCAGAGATTGAAAAAGAGTCCTATCTGAAACTATGCATGGTGACTCAAGGGTATTTCCTGATGGCTCATAATATTGAGACTGACATCATGGCCCTAGATAGGTCAATTAAGATTTTATACAGAGAGAAACTAGGCCTTAGTTAAAGAAAGCACCTTAATCATTCCTACAAATAACTCCTTGCATTTGCATAGAATTATAGATTCCAAGTAATGCAAAAGAAATGGAAAGATGCATGGTGGGCATAAGTAGTAATAAGAGCTAACATTTATATAATGCTTTAAGGTTTGCAAAGCACTTTACTTATGTTATTTTATTCTTGCAACAACCCTCTAAGGTAGGCACTATTATTACCTGTAATAGACAGAGAAACTGAAACTAAGAGAGATTAAGTGGCCTGTTTGGGGTCACACAGCTAGTGTCTGAAGTAATATTTGAATTCAAGTCTTCCTGACTCCAAGTGCAAACTATAATCACTGTACTGATGGGGGCAGGGCCCAAGCCAAGATCTTCACTCTTTGCCCCAAAGGGAATCTGACTCACAGGCCCCAGACCCTCATCTCCCTTGAAAGCCCTAGCTTACCTTTAGATCTTATTCAGATGCACCTTCAACCCTTGCCCTGAATAGAATCTGGCTCCTGTTTATCTACAGGACCCAGAAAACCCTTAAACCTTCGAATTTCCTAATTGACTCCCCTCATCTCCCTTTGAAAGCCTTAGGCTCCCTTTTGTCTATAGGCCCCAGAAAGGCCTTCCTTATAGACTTCCTTTATCTCCTTTTGAAAGTCCTAGCCCCACCTTGATTTTGTGCAGATGCCTTTCAAACTTTGGCCTTCCTGTTCCCTCCATTATCTATTCCCATTGTCTATTCAATCTCTCTG